CCCCAAAACCCCAAAACCCCAAAACCCCGGGTTGATATATAAAATTAAATTATGAGATTAATTATAAATAAGCATATATATTTTTTGAATTAACAATTACTAAATATAAATGAATCGAAGTTTGAGTCGAACCCCACAATAATAGTAATAGCAGATGTATAAACCTGGAAAGAGTTTCATGCCAAACTACGGAGAAATATAACTAACCAATATGAGAAAGTCAGTTCACAATGCTGAACAATCAACCCCAAAAGCTTTTGGTTATGGTAAAGATAATCAGAAAGGTTATAATCCCAAAGAAATTTATTTAAATAATCCCTCTTCTTTATTTGCATCATCTTTTGCTAAGGATAAGCAAGTTTAGAATGCAAAGAAGAGAATGTACTCTGAAATATCAAATGAAATATAGTAGCCTAGTCCTTACATTGGAACACCTTATATGACATTCGATGATAACAGTACGATAAAGCCTAATTAGAACACCATTGTCAGGAATCCAACATTAATGAGTCTGGGAATCGGGAGGGATGATCAGTCTAGAGGCCTAATCAAGTCAGCAAGTATTAAACCTATGAATTTAAATCTTACAGATTACTAAAAGTTCAGAGATGCGTCTGCTTAAGATGAACAATTCTATGAAGATCATTATATTGTAAATGGCGAGCAGATTTTGCCTACTCAAACCTTCAAACCTAAAAGAGTTGATAAGCACCTTGAATAATTTTCAAAAGCAGAGATAAATACGAAGTGCCAGCAAGTATCATAAATATTAGATCACATATATCACATAAATTCCAATCCTCTAAAAAATGATATTGCTTTAGTGAATTCAAGAGGTCTATAATTTGAATATCAGCCTTTGTAATATATAGTTGCAAATTAATAGTAATTACCTCCAGAGATTCAAACTATGATAGGCATATAATATCATGAAAGTGATATTGAAAGGAGAAATATAATTTCAGATATTGGAATATTTGAGACTTTACAAGTAGGATACTATTTTTAAAACCAAAACCTGTATATGTGGCCTTATGCCTTCCCTGGTAGATATGAAGTAGGATAGCAAAGATTTTCAAACCTAAATAAGATTAGAGCTGAGTCTTTTGATCAGGCAATTACATGCGTAGCTGTATGCGAACCTCTACCAGAAATGTTGCTTGAGGCATAAGAGAACAAAATTCTAATTGTTTCAACTGCTATCGAATTAATAATTTTCACAATCAAGAGAGATAAAGAGACAAATGATATTTAAATGAATCGTACTAACTATAAAATACCAACTGATGGAGATATGGTTGAGAAAATAGCCCAATTCAAAAAGAATAATAGAATATTCTATGGGGGATCTGAGGGTCACATAAATGAAATCAATCTCAAGAGTAATAAATTAGATCAATTTCTAGAAAACATCAGTCTCGCAAAGAAGAAACTCAAGAGGAATGACTATTCAGCTGGAAGCTTCTTAGAAAAGCTACTGCCAAGTTTTATAGTCGACAGATCAAGAAAAAAAATTGTTGACATAAAATTTGATGATAGCAGAAACTACCTTTACTCAATGGCTGTCTCTCTTGATAGAGAAACTCAAGGACAGGCTGAAATTGATGTGTATGATTTAGGAGTATTTGGGAACTAATTCAATAAGGTGGTGAGCATAAAGTAGTATGAAATACTGGAAGCATTTATTTCATACTAGAAAATCTCAATCTTTGGGAAAGGCTTCGATATTCTTAAGCTTTCTGAGAACTTCAAAATAATATTCATTCAACCAATTCTAACAAACGAAAGTGAAATTCACCACTTATTACTAGTAACTGAGTCAGGTGATAGAATTTACTTAAGCTTTGATTAGTATGATATTGATATCAAGAAGCAGGATTAGTATCTAAATCTAGATGCTATTGTTGATTTTTATGTAACTAGCAGATTCAAGAAAGATTGGATTATTCGTGAAGTTCTTAAGTTTCCTAAGATTGAGGAAACTGAGGAATTATTTGATGTTGCTCAGAGAAATGGAGCTTTCAAATGTATCGGGGCAAATGTCGCATCTTAACCCTTACTTATAAATAAAGACTCTTTGTTCTATGATAATTAAGAAAGTTGTGTGATATATACTGAGAATATTTTCGATCAAGATAACTTAATACCTTAAGCTTAACAAATTATAAAGTTTAGCTTTATAAGGAAAAATGAAAGCACCTTTGCAGCTTTAAAGGCATAGAATAGTAATCAAGGTTAACTGCAGATTGCTGAACAATGCTCATAATTCGATCTTATAGTCTTACCTCCGAGGTCATAGGCTAGCATGGATCCATTAGATCCAAGGTAATATTAATTTGACATGCAAGAAAATATTTACTCAATAAAATCAATGAATAGCTATAGATAGTCTGAATTACAAAAATTATTGGGATATGATAGAACTTATAAAGACTATAAAGGATAATCATCCACTGTTCAATGGCATTATATGTGCTAGGATTAATATGATAAATAGATCTACCTAGACTAAAGAAGATATCAAATAATGACAGATTAAAGAGTGCTAGAAGTATTAGAGGTACGTCCAATAGACTAGCTTGTCATGATTTTGCATACATTAACAAGACCACATTGTAATACCTTCGAAGACTTTGAAGATTTTATCGATTTGCATACCTTCAAAGAAGTTTGTGCAATGCTCGTTTAAATTATCTCTGACAGAAACGGAAGGTATTTGTTTTCAAGAAGAATTGAATAAATGATATGCACATCAAACAAATAGAAAAACAGAAAACTAACATAAAGCTAGCCAAGATAAACTTTGAGAAATTTAATTGCTGCTGGACCTCAAATAGTTTCACATTAGAGCCCTATAAGACTAAATAATCAAAAGATTTCATATCAAACGACTTCATATGTCGAATTCAAATCTTAGTATGAATTGAAAAGGTTTGTGGGTCCCAATTTTATTGGTGAATACGTATATCAAAGGTGCACCTAAGAAGTTGTAAGTTTATTTACTTTTAATTCTAATATAGACAACTATTGCTACTAAGCTCCTTGCTATATATGGGGATTGCATCAACATTCAATCTTAAATTAGGACAGTTAATGAAAATATATTGGCAGGTCCTTCATCACTAGATCAGTTTTCCTGTATAATCCTAATAGTCCTTCATTTATTAATTTAGACAAACATCTTGCAATTTATGAATACTTATAGAGGTTGCTGAGACCATTCTTAGACTTGAATATTTTTTACACGACTTTCCTTGAAACTGGCAAGGAAGTTTGCTTACCTTCTATAGAATCTCTCACATTCACTTAGGAAAAACTCTCAGACTTGCTAGAATTCATTATTAAAAACTATCCATAATTATAAGGTGAAACACTTAAATCTGAAGAGTTCCTTGACTATGAGACTAATAGCTTTATCAGATATGATTTCCTTAGAGAGAGGGTAATTCTTGTAGATGAACTGTAATCAGATGATAAGTACAATCTAGAGGTACTTGAGTAAAATTCAATAATAAATTTAAAACTCTTCATCCAAAGATGTATTCATTCTACTCAGCTATTGAATTTACTTAATAATGAGAATGATCGAAAAAAGTAAGCATAGTTTTGGAGTAAACTTAGAAAAGACCAATAAATTCAAGTGACTTAACTCTCATTTAGAGAACTGCTTTCTAATGCTAATAACAATGTCATAAAGGATATCTTAAATGTACTGCTTGACTAGGAAAAACTTATTAAAGTGCCGGCAGGCTAGAGGTAAACAGCTTAATTCTCTTCGTCTAGAGAAGGATAAATTTAATTACTGTACAATCAAATGTTTACTAAGGAAGAGGTCAAAGCATTTAAGGGAGAGAGACTGCTAGTTGAAGCTATCAATGAGAAGGATAATCATAGAAGAGACCAACTTCTAGAAATGAGTCTAAGGCAGATGTGCGAGGAACCTGTTGAGATTGACTTAAACGCTATAGCTCCATTATTGGTCTAAATTGGTAATTTTACAAGTTTGGTAGAAATTACCCTGAACAAGATCATAGTCTTAAAGAATACTCCAGTAAAAGAACTTAAAAATATGGATGAAAGTCTTGCAGATTATTATATAGATTAAGGATACCAACTTATAATGTAGGTTATTTCGGCTATTGATTACAGCTTAAGAAAAGATGATAGCAAATTCCTTGAGAAAATTATGAATTCAAAAGATCAGAGTCTGCTTGATATCATGATTAAAAAATTGAATAAGGTATAAGATGACAAGCTTAAAATTAATCTGAGAACAAACATCTTGAGAAGAATTGAGCAAGTTGGTGATATCATACTTCTATCAGCAATCTTTGAGTATCAATTGAAGAAGCCAAAGACTATATTTGATATGGAGAGTTTTCCTAAAATCAGCAAAGAAGCATTTGAATCCATATGTGATCATGCAATTTTATCTGACTCAATCTAGAAAGATTACTTGAATTCACTAGTCACTCTACTCTGTTAAAAAGAGGAGGCGAAAAGACTGTGCGATTTGGTGCTTAATGTTTGCAATAACAGATAAATAGTCTACCTAGATTCCGATAGTCAAACTAAGCTAATTATTAATGAAGGAGATAGAGTTCCATTTAATTTAGTACTTGATGAAAGATTAAAGCTACTTAACAAGGCAGAAACTCTGTTAGAAACCTCTACTAAAAAGTTTGATGGAAGTGATAGTCAAATGAGGTATCAGTCTTTGATAAATTAGTGTATTGAAAAGGCTAAGTTGTAGGTTGAAATCATGAAATCATTAGAAGAAATTAAATAAGCCTATCAAGCAAAAGTTGAGCTGTTTGAATAGAACTATAGGCATAAAAATAAAAAAGATAAAGCACTAGAAGATAAAGAACTTGAAAAAAATAGACTTGAATAGATCAAAATTAAGAATTTAAATATCAAAAAGGATTTGCTTGATTAAAAAATCTTTGAAGTTAAAGATCTCTTGCAAGATTTTGTACATGATGAGAATCTATTTGAAGTTCTTTTGATCCATAACTTAACTTCCTCAGAGAGTAAATAAAGAGACAGTAGTTATCAAAATAGCATTGTCTAGTAATGGGTAAATTAAATATTCCATTTGTATTCTCATAATGACGATATATTAATGAGTAAGATAAAACAAAAGCTCACATCACTAACTGATAATGAGAATAAATCTAAAGCTATCCCTAAATACATTTAGGCTACATCAAATCTCATTGAAAAATAATTTAAGTAAGAAGATACTTTGATAAATTCGAAAACTGAAAAAGAGTAAAACTTGAAAAATTTGTTGGAAGATTTAAAATCCTTAAATGGTGGATTTGCACTTGTTAAGACTAGATTCTGGTTCTACGAATATTGTTTCTCTGAAAATAATGAAAATTAATTGAAATTAAAGGCTTCTTAGTTAATTAACTATTTCTCGAACTAACCTCAAGCTAATTAAAGTAATTGGGAATTAAGCAGCAATCAATAGCCTTTTAAATTTGAAATTAGTAATGACGATCAATTGTTTAAGTTCCTATGCTTGATGAAGCTATGGATAAAGAATGGTGATCTTTATAAAGAAAAAAAATTGGATTAAAATAATATATCCGATCAATAAAGCTAGACATTTTACGAGACACCTTATTAGATTTTTCATTAAGATGTGAAACTTCATGCAAAGAGCTTCTACACTGAACTTATTATGAGCACAATGAAGGATTATATTGATTATAATTACTTAGCATTTCACAAGGAAGTGAAGCATTTGGTTGATGAACTATATAATAAAGTAGAAAATGGATTCAAGCAAATGCTCATTTCTCACGGCATAAAACTTCTTTTACCAGGTTAAATTAATAATATTGCAACCTTAAACACTCTAAATTAAAATAAATTTGCTTAGAGAGAAGGAACTGGTATAGTAAATAATCGAAGTTAATCAGTGAATAACATCTCACAAGCAAACTTCAGCAATTCATCATAAATGAATCAGTCTTTATCATCGTAGCAATCTATATAAAAAATTAATGCTGATCAAGAAATGAAGCAAAGCTTGTAAGAGTAATCAGCTATGGCATATTAGACTAATTACTTTTAGACAAATGTGTCTCCAATAAATCAAGAAAAATCTCCCTAACTTTTTAACTAGGATTAATACGCAATTGGAACGCATAAATAGGATGGAGGTAAATCACAGCCAACAAGCAGATTATTTTAAAAGTAAAGTGATACTATTTAATTCATGCAATGAGAGAATCGGTAGATTACTCACAGTCTGTTTTTGGGAAATTTAATAATTATAAACTGAACAATTAATTGATTTCATAATTTAAATTTTCATATTTAAATTTAGTTCCAACATATTTTAAAGTATCGATAGTTTATGGGGTTTTGGGGTTTTGGGGAGATCGGAAGAGCGTC